GATTCACTGTCTGTGCAAAATGGAAATACAATCTTCTATAAACATTTATACATACTAGCACGTGCATAAAATAATAAAATTAGAATTTTGTTATCATAATAGGTTTATTTTTAGCCCAACTCTTTGGGGTCTTCTCTGTGTCTAGTCAGAACAAGCCAAAATCCTGGAATGCTATTTCCAAAGTGGGAAAAGAGTGGAGAGCGTGGTCAAGAGACTGTTATTGTTTAGGTATACAGTGGAATCTATTAAGATGTAAAATAAGATTAGTTTTGTTGTTTGGTTTACCTGTCAACTGTTCTTTTTTATAGTAGATAGATGGTAGGTCAAAATTGGGTTGGGTAAATAGAACTGTAAAAGTATATAAATTGCAGACCTGTTTTGCGGTGGGGAAGGCGAATGGGGAAACCATTGTTGAAATATATTTGTCAGTATTCAACTGGGAGGAGGCATCTATGTCAGGGGTGTCAAGTTCTATTTCCTTGAAGGCCACATCAGGGTTGCGTTTGACCTTAGAGGGGCATGGCCAGCTCAACATCACTTGTGTCAGAGGCATCTGAGCGTTCTGCCACTGAAAACAGCTCAGGAGGGTCGCTCACATTTCCACTGTCAGAGCGTTGCAGAAGGCCATCGCAGCTGAAAATGGAGCTCCGTTTTTGCTGGCAGATGCACAGTGGGCCGGTCCTTCACTATTTCCAGGGCAGCCCCAAGGGCCAGATCTAAGCACCCCATGGGCCAGATCTGGCCCCCGGGCCTTGAGTTTGACACCCCAATCTATGTATTTGTTCTTTTATCTTTATGCACATTTTTGCTTTATTTAGTGTTGTTCCCTTTTCTTTTGGAGTTTGTATTTTGACTTTGAAAATAAAAATAAAAAATTATTTTTTTTTAAAAAAAAGATGCCAAATACAGGTCCAAATATGGAGGATTTAATAGAATAAAATAACTTGATATTCAGGCTTCAGGCATTTGAACTGCCACTTCTCATTTACCGTTCTTTCCTCCTTTGCAGTCACTGAAGCCGGATTTATGAACTGTATTGGCAAGCATCCATTTGCATAAGAGGCAAATTTATTAACACTGAAAATAAATTTCATTCCCTAATATGCATATTTACTTTTTCTAAATCTTCATATCTATGACAAAAAAAATACTACAAATATCCTAAGAAATTCTAGCCATTAGTTTATCAGGTACTAAATCCCATTGAAATCAATGGTGCTTCTGAATGAACATGAATAAAGTAAAAGAGCAAGGTTAGAATCTTATAACATACTGGTTGGCTTCATAATATACTTAGTTTGGTTTTGGTACTGTAGGGTTGGAGTTTGCAAACTATGTTTTTTCATCTAGCCCACGCAGACCCAGTTGTGATTTATTCAGTAAACATTGCTTAAATAAACAAAGGCTTAATACTGTGTGAGCCCAGTTTCACTTAGAAGCAAGTTCTGCTACATACTGTAGGACTTATTTCTGAGTAAATCTGAGTATGATGTTGCAGTATATTGCTTAAATGCAACAGAGGTACCAGACAGAGTCATTAATATTTGTCCATATTTCTACTCCAAAGGGTTCATACAAATCAGCCTGGAATGATGTGAATGCACATGTGTAATGCACATTAAAAATAGACAGCCATTTTGATTGCACTGTTTCACTCCACAGATTGTGACTTTGTGATCATCCTCTGCAACTACCCCTGAAGTGGATGATACAATAGCTAGAATGCTAGGCATGTGACTTCTATGTTCTTCCAAGCTTCGTTGTCCACCAACAATAAACTTTCAGCCTGACATCTCTGCCTCATCCTGCTGAAGCCTCCATATGGGGGGAGGGGGGTATATGTATGTATGTATATGTATTGTGCACATCGTGGAGAGTACTGTATATGTTTGTGATAATTGGTAAAGTTGTTTTGCTCAGATGCATTTTAATTCATTTTTAACTTGGAAACAATTGAGATGTGAGAAATTCTGTGCTCAATTGTGGTCATAAGTTGAGTACTACCTGTAATACAACATGATTGATGATAGAATGCAGATAACAGGTCCTTCAGATTGGATGGCACTCAACATATTAAAAAGGAAGAGCCTAAGGATTTTTCAGAGTACTAATGGTGTGTATGATAGGGCTAGATGAAAGCCTTCAGGCCATCTATAGTAAAAGGAAAAGAAAATCCGAAGCTGCAAAGATAGAATTACAGTAGGAACATGGAATGTAGGACATATTAGTACAGATAAGCCCAACACAGCTAGAGATGAAATGCAACAACTGCAAAGTTACATTTTAGGATTTAGTAAATTGAGTTGGACTAGAATCAGATACTTTGTCAGAAAATCACATTGTTTATTACTCAAGAGATTAAAAAAGGAAGAGGAACAATATTTTATGAATGAAGGTGAATATCCCAGGATAATTTTGCAGGGTCCAATCTGGGTTGGTCACCAGAGGTTTTGTCTTCTCAGCTTTCGGACTCATGCTGGAGCCCATCCTCAGGGAACTTAGAAGTTCCCTGAAGATGGGCTCCAGCACTAGTCCAGAGGCTTGGAAGACAGAGCATTTTTTAATTAGCATTTGTAGAGGTACACACAGAGGTGCAGATTAACAGAGTTGGAAGGGACCTTGTAGATCATCTAGTCCAACACCACCACCCCCGCCCAAGCCGACTACATCATTTCTGACAGATGGCAGTCCAGTCTCATTGAAAGCTTCCAGTGATGAAACTCACAACTTCCAAAGGCAGCCTCTGTTCTACTGGTTGATTCCTCTCTCTGCCAGAAAATTTCTCCTTATATTTGCCATTTGTGACTTTACCTGCTGATTTCTTACAAGCAAAGTCAATACCCTTTTTCTTCTGAAGAGCCCCACCATGGAGATCCCTGGGATCTCGTAATCTATAGCATCTTTTAGGATCAACAATCAACAAAGAAGTACCCTGCAGACTAGCACTTGGCAGAATAGTCATGAAGGCCTTGGAAGAGATACTCAGCTATCATGATGTTTCTATACCTACTGAGAGGTCAGGCCTGTTTGTTTTAGATCTTATGCACAAATATTTAGAAGAAAGGCAAATAATGTAAAATAAGCCTTGTAGCCAACCTCAGTTACTGCTGACGTCATGGGCACATCCGTGCAGTTTTCTGGCCAACAAAAGAACAACCTTTTTCTAGGATGTTTATTTTCAATTCCCCAGTCTAGATTACAGTCCTGAGATTTCTTAGTGCTCTTTCATCCTAGTAACTAGTTCCAAATCAATCAAGCCTCATTAGGTCAGTCAAGGGTTAGTAGAAGGTAGGGTAGAAAATGGCAATCTATGTTGTGCCAATTCTGTATAAATCAAGTTGGGGGAAACTGAAACAATCCAACCTATACTTTAATAATTTATTTATTTAGAATATCTGTAGCCTGTCTTTTTGAAAGTGAAATATTATGTAAACTGTGTGTGGATATGTGTGTGTGTGTTGCCTTCAAGCCAGTTTTTGATTCCTAGCAACTAGTCCTTGTGGTTTTCTAGGCAAGGTTTTTCAGAAGTGATTTGCCATTGCCTTTTTCCTAGGGCTGAAAGAGAGCGACTGGCCATTGGTGCCTAAAGGCAGGAGTAGAACTCACAGCTTGCCACTTCTAACCTGGTTCCTAAACCACTGTGCTAAATTGACTTGCATGTAACAAATTAGAATCCAGTTTGTTTATTTTAAAACAATAACTAAATGCTACAAATTTGAAAAACTGGATTTTAAACCTGAATTTAAAAGAATTCTGACACATTTTCTGAAAGTAGTATCAGAAGGAATGAATCATGGCTACAGAAGAAAATACGCTCCACTGTTTGGGAACAACACAGAATGTTGTCCTCAGCTTCTTAATGAGAAAAGTGCTCCCTCATTTACACAAGCTTCAAGCGATCTGATCTAAATCAGCATTTCAGAGGCTTTTTTTTCTGACTGAAGTTACTTCTTTTTATATTGCTGACCCCACCAGAGAGAAAGAGAGATGAAATAATAATAGTCGTCATCATCATCATCTGGAAGGGGTCAGCTCATTGACTTAGTCTGCCCCTGTTGCTTTTCCTGATCACACCATGTTATTGATTCACTTTGCAAACAGACTTACAGAACAGTCAGGCATGTTGGGTCAGATTAAAATCATGGAGATACAGATTCAAAATCTGGTCCCCCAACAAAGATCAAGGGGGTGATTGGGGTTTTGTGAGGATCGGATAGGAGAAGGCACTTCATACTTCTTTCTCTGGAATAAAACTGGTTTCCAGGTCTTTGAAACCACAACTGGGGTTTCAGGACTGCCCTCCTTTGAAGTAACTTTTGGATAGTGCCACAAATGGGCGGGGGGGGGGATTGTGTGTTTTGATTTCATGGGAGACAGGAGAGAGGGAGGGAGGCAGAGAGGGAGACGGAGTTTTGCTTCCCGTTTGGCAAATTCATTTTTCGAATGTTTTACATATTGGGGTGCAGGGAAGATTTATTATTCACCCAAGACAGCAAAATCCCTTGATCCTCAAAAAACGTCTTTCTTTTAATAAAGTCCTTAAGTAGGACAATGGAGGAACTCTCAGCTTGATCTACATGGCAGTGACCCTTCATGTAAAAATAGCTTCAGAAACTCCATGCATTTTACCTACCAGGGAGGGTGGGGGGAAATAAATAGGGCCTTAGGTGGATTTTCTGGCCAGCAGCCTTTAAAGCATGCCTTGTCTGTTTTTTGCAATAATAATAATAATAATAATAATAATAATAATAATAATAATGCAGATATTCTGCAACTTGTAAAAAATAAAACCCAGAATAAAGTAAAGGAAAAGGACAGATGCAAATAGATGAACACTGACTTCTAAAAAGAAGCTAATAAGGGAGATCTGGTCCCTGCTGCTATGCTTTACCTGTTGCTGCAAATCTCTCAGGTAACAGGTGTCTGGTTCCCCAGTCAGTGTACTAAAAGATGACTTCATAGGGGTGGAGCCCGGTTACACTGTAAAGGTGGCACTCAGGTGAGCCAGGTAAGAAGTAAACTTATGCGGGTCTCTTCAGCACTTCAGCTGTTCCTTGAAGGAAGCCGACCCTGTTGCCCACGCAACAAGCACACGCACACCTCTCTGCTAAGCTGTTTGTGTTATTATTTTCCCAACCACTGGGAAACCACTTAAAGAAACACCGGCTTGGAAATGGAAGCCAAGGATCCTACTGGAAAAGAAAGTGCAGGGGTTAGGAAAAAGAACCTGACTTTCCTCAAGCAGAGATTGTACATGCTGGAGAGGAGGAAGACGGATACGGTGGTGGAGAGCAGCGTCTCAGGAGACCACAACAGCAACTCTGCAACCTTGAGAAGGAGCCAGTCAGACAGGACTGAATACAACCAGAAATTACAAGGTAAAAATTGGGCAGCGGGGGGAGGGAGGAGGAAGGAAAAATCAGACTGCTTTTCTTAATATTTAGTCCAACTATCTCAAAGCAATGTGCAACGCTGGCAGGAGTAATCCATATACAATGATCAGAAGGAAGATATTCCACCTGGAAGAGTCTTAAAGCAGCTGATACTTTTTTATTACTGTTTCAGAAAGAATAATAAGATAGAAATACCATGAAAGTTATTTAGTTTATTACATTGCACAGAAGGGAAGATTTTAATTAAAGGCCACATTAACTTTATTTACAATTATATAATGCTTTAAAGCCACATTTTAGACAGGTGCTAATTACCCTATTTTCAGTGTGGGAAATGCGTTCTGCTAAAAGTACAGACTATGGGACAAGCTACATGTGAAGTGAAATAGTAAGAAGTAAGCAGGGGAAGGTTTGTCTTAGAAAGAGAAAAAAAAGTTTTGCTTCATTATGTTCATGTTTGGATCTTAAACAAGTGAAGTGAGAATATTGATTTATCCAGGCTTATGTCCCTGAGGCCATAAATGAAGAAAACACTAATTTGTTATTCACGGAACAAGGCAGGTCCAATTCTAACCGCTATACATTTAAAATAACTGCATGCAGGTGTGGGTGTATGTATAGACACATATTCACATATATAGGTAGTCCTCAATTTACAACTAGAGTTGGGACCAGAATATCCATTGCTAAATGTCATTGGGTCTCGCCTGAATTTTTGCCATAAGGGAATCACGTTGTTAACTGAATCTGGCTTCCTCCATTGACTTTGTTTGTCGGAAAGTGCTTGGGAAGGTCATAAATGGTAATCACATAATTCTGAGACACTATAACCATTGTAAACACGTTGCCAGTTGCCAAACACTCAAATCATGATCACATGACTATGGAAATGCCTCAATGGTCATAAATGCATGAACCTATCATAAGTAAGTCTTTCAGTGCCATTGTATCTTTGAATCATTACACAAATGGTCATAAGTTGAGAACTCCCTGTAAAGAGAGGGGGTTTTTTCCCCTACTCCTAAAAAGGACCTTTCTTAATTCTCTATGAGAAGGTTAGGCTAGATAATAATCATTTTGGATTGCTGCCAAATTGGCTTAAATAATAGTGCATCTGTAATTCACATTCAGTCTGCTGCTGGAATGTAGGTTATAATGCTGAACAGGTTTGTAACATTGCCCTAAAGCAACCTCACAGGAGCATTTTAGTCCCAGTAACAGTGGAATTCAGTGACAAACAGTAGCCCATGATGTAAAACTCATCCTTTCCATTTCCATCCTTCCTATAGGATACAGGCTGTATTTCCCTATATGCAAAGAGATTGTGTGGTATTGACAGAGCAATTAGCCAGGAAGAATTTCCCTATGACAAAGCATCGACAGATGCTTCATTTGTTAAGGTTACATTCTGTTTAGCTGATACTGGGAAATAGTTTTTCTTCCCATTTCCAATTCCCAGCTTTAGTCAATATATACTGGATCATTTTATAAGATCTACAGTAAATTCCATTTGTGATAGGAAGACAGGAAAAAAACAGGGAAATAACTTACATTTTAGCAATAGTAATAGCACTTAGACTTATATACTACTTCACAGTACTTTACAGTAGTCTCTAAGTGGTTTTACAGAGTCAGGATATTGCCCCCAACAATTTGTGTCCTCATTTTACCCACGTCAGAAGGATGGAAGGCTGAGTCAACCTTGAGCCTGATGAGATTTGAACTGCCAAATTGCAGGCAGCCAGCAGGCAGCAGAAGTAGCCTAGAGTAATACACTCTAACCACTGTGCCACCACAGCCCATTATTCTTGTATTTATATCTCAAAAGCATAGAACTTCCCCGAACTGCTGGGAAACAATATTGTGCATAATCAGTGAATGGTTCCAAAGAACTGGCCTTTAGTTATTCCAGCTTTAATCCTTGTATGTATATAATGACAGCAGAATAGAGATTGAAAATAAGATAAAAGGCAATCCCTACTCCACTCTACGCATGAAGTAACTGGAGGGATGGAAAAGTAGATGGAGGCCCTTTTGTTGAACAAGCTAGTATAGCCTACTCATATATAATATAAAGGTATAAATCATGGTTTACAAAGTAATAGTTAAATTCAAACATAGCATTGGGCTAAGGATGAACACTACATGGGCATTTGCCACAAGCCATAATCTGTTTTATTTGCTTTGATTTCAGAGTGATAAGTGACCCCAGCCACTATAGTTGATGGATTATGGCAGGGGTGTCAAACTTGATTTCACTGAGGGCCACCTCAAGGTTGTGTTTGACTTCGGGAGGTGGGGCAGATGGGACTGGAGTAGGCATGGCCAGGAAGGGTTTGGCCAGCTTGATGTCACTTGTGTTGGGGGCACCTGTGGTGGCCAAATGTTAAGGCAGGACTTCCCTCAGACCCTTCCTCATTATAATATCCTTCCTTCCTTCCTGTTTCCAGATCTAAGCACCCCACAGACTGGATCCAGCCTGCAGGCCTTGAGTTTGACAGCCCTGGATTATGGTTTAATAGTATATGTGAATTAGGTCAAGAAGGTTAGGACAACATGTAAACTTAATTCCTATTAGTAAAATTCATTATTAAAAATATTTTGAGTCCCTGAAGAGAAATCACAGAATTTGTTCAGATTCCAGTGACGCCTCTGGATGAAAAACTTGCCCTGAGCCACCTTACCTGATTATCTGATTTAGACTCAGTTCTCGCAGTTCTTGCTATCAGCCCCTCCTGTTGGTTTCCTTAGAGTAGGAAATCTCCTGTGGGTGGATTTTCACAACCAAATAACCTCTGGTTAATGTTGGTTGATTGGACTTGGCTTATATAGCATAATATATGTAAATAATTCTAACCAGTTTTGACAACATTCTCAGCTTAATAGTACAGGTAGTTCAGCCACAACTGAGCCCAAAATTTCTGTTGCTAAGCAAGACAGTTAAGTGAGTTTGCCTCATTTTTTGCCACAGTTAAGTGAATCGCCGCAGTTGTTAAATTAGAAACACAGTTGCTAACAATTCTGACTTTGCTTGTCAGATGATTGCAAATGGTGATCCTATGAGCAATTAAACAGGAACTGAACCTACTAGAGTTAGTAAAATAAAATAATGGATTACTTGAACAGCTTTTTTCCTTAAGCCAATGTTTGCATAAGGCAGGACATTTTTTTTGTTATTTGTGGCCTAGATATATAGTGATCCTTTTTATATTAGTTGTCATTCATTATGTCTAACTCTCCTATCAATTATTTACCATATATTTTTTATTTATTGCTTAATGCACCAACCTTGTAGGAATATAAACCTCTGGAATGACTGGATTTTTTTTTTTTTTTTGGTCTGGATGGATCAAATTACAAATAGGAGTCTAACAGGACGTAATTATTACAGTGGAAAAACAATGCTTATGTAAATATTTGTTGACCTTTATAGCTTCCTTTTTCATGTTAAAAGCTCTATTCAGATGTCATTCTTTTGGAGCTTTATAATCATAGTTAGTTAATTAGTATTTTTGAAAGCCTAAAAACTTTCCCTTTTTTATAAAGTAGCAAGAACTTATATTGTATAACTAAACTCCCTGTCAAAACTGATCCACAAATATCCTGTTAATCAAATAGATATACTGTAGTACAGTTCTTAATAATTGTACAAAATGAGATGTTAAGATTTTTTAAAAAAACAACGACTTGAAGTTTGATTTTGTAGCAATGTGGCATCTATTTATACATCTTGCATTCTGTCATTCTAAACTTGATGCAACAATGGGAACAGATATATTTATCATTTTAATTATACATTCTTTAAAATGCAGTACAATAATGGCAACTTAACTTACCTTTTAACTCCTAATGTATAATAAATCCACATATATGAATCTGATGGTTCCCATAAGGCTTCAAGCCTTATGGAAACAGTCAGATAAACAATTTTATTTTTATACTTAAATTGATTAGCTGCCCCACTCCAATGGGTTTGGGGTGGTATAGTGTTTATGTGATTTCATTGGTTAAATATATATAATGAATTATTCCTCTATATTTAATAGTTCCCTTCTTTCATCATGTGGCCGTGGGACATAGTGATAGAATAAGTAGACCTGGTTGAAATGTACCTTCAACCCCCAAAACTCACTGGATGATTTCAACTAGTCATTGTCTTTTAGCCAAACTTACCTCATGAGTATGGTGTTCTGAGGATAAAATACAGGGGAAATCCTTAAGATGGTGTCTCCTAAAGGTAACTTGGATATAATTTGAATGAGCACATGAATGAAGATTACAATTTACTCACAATTTTTGGAAAGGTATTGTGAACTTTAGATAGCTGTAGATTGTATACCTGTGTCTTTATTTCTAGCAACTGTGTTTTGTATTGTTTGATGTTTCTGAATCATTTTCAATCATCCCTTCGCAATCCAAGTGGATTTACTAATGTGCAGATAGGGTTGGCCAAGAGAAATTACATTTGTTATGTCAACGGGATGCTTCAGAAGATATCTAAGCCGTTAGTGATACTCATGGGTCAAGACTGCAAAGGTGTCCACGGAATGTAGTAAAAAAAAAAAGTCAAGAGGACAACAAGTGCAGTCAAACTTCTGCCTGTTTTTTTTTTTTTTTTTAATGTGAAGGTGGAACTTTGGTTATACTATCACAGCTTCAATCTTGACATTTTTGAACATAGTCTGAGGACACCCCTGCAAGACTGTAAACATAATCCTGTATTAGGAGATAGACCATTCTTGTCTGCAACATATTGAATACCTTCAGGGTAGAGTAGATGAGCCAAGAAACCAGTATCAAAAATATATCTACCTTTCATAATTATGTTGAGATACTGTTAAGAAATTAACATTGGCTTAACGTTTATTCCATTAGTAGCTTTTGAATGTTGCAGACCCTAATTGAAATGGCTGCTCTTGGATTAGATGTATTTTTTAAAAAACTGTCCATTTATCTTATAGTTATTTGAAGGTTATAAATGGTTATTGTTAGCAAATATAGTAAGAAGATTTGCACTTAACAGTATGGGGATCCAGATGTATTTTCAGTTAATGATTTGCAATTTTACCCTATTATTATAGGAGTGAATCTGTTATTTTATGTTTTACTTGGAAAATGTAGAATATTAGTATTTTTGGTTCCTATGCTTTGGAGAACTATCTTCTGAAGATGCTGCAGGAATCACACTATGGAAGGAATTATATTGCAGAATTATTTCAGAGATTGTTTTATGCGTTAACTTTAGAATTCACAACCCAGGTAGGAGAGAGATTACTTACCTGAGCATTACCCTCAGAAGCATTAACAATATGGATATTATTTCATCTTTGATATTTTTTATTCATTTTTTTTTCAATATTCCAGAAAACATCCATTCAATCATTAAAAGAATCTAAAATCAAGGAATGAAAATCAAATATTTCCTGTAAAAATTAGGTGCCTTTTTCATAGCTACTTACAATATATGGTTAAACAAAAAACTAGAGTTTTGGATTACTTAAATAGGTATCAGTTGATAGACTTGATCATAGTTGAGCAGTGTCAAATTCTCTAGTGGTTTGTGCAAGGTTATTGTGACTATAATGTTTCTTTGTCTGAAATACATGGGAAATTGGATACTGAGGGGAAACTTTCTCAGATGGCATAAATTTCAGCATTCTGAAGGGATTCAAATAACGGAACTTTGTGAAAGATACTATGCCACAATTACCTCTGAACTCTTTGTTAGTTTGTTTTGGGATTAACAAGTTGGTTGAACCAAATCAGGGCAAGTTGGTAAATCATCGTTTATAGATAGGATTAATTATTACCGTAATCATTTGTGGCTAATTCAATAAATAATACCAGAATGTATTAGGATGTATAATTCCAACCACCATAGTACTAGCGAAAAGGACCAATAGACTAATAGCTTGGTAAGGACTATATTCTAGGAGAAATTAATGTGAAATTTAACTGATCATGTTACCCGTGACATAAATTCTATATAATTCAAAGCACCAAATCATTAACGTTAAACAGCAAACATAAGCCACGAAAACTGATTTTCCTGTAAATTATGTGTCTTTCAAAAAAAAATGGAAAAAAATAGCTACACAGATATATCTATCTTTGCACATATGTTTTCAAATATTAAGTTATCAAAGGTGTCTAGTGGTTTTTTTTAAAAAAAGATCTTTGCATACTTTAAAAAGTGGCTTGGAAATTGTTTTCTTTGGACTGGAAGAATATTCCTCTGCAATTTACTAATTCCTCTTTTTAAGAGTAGAAAATCCACACCCTTAGTACTTCTCCTAGGTAGAAGCCTTCCCTCAGGGCCTATTTAACCTTTTGTCATCCTCAGGCAAATCTTTCAAGCGGATTCCCATAGAAATGTTGCAGAACCTGGAGTTTCCCACCTGGCAACCCACTTCCCTTCCCCTGGCCTTTTCTTCATCCTCTCCTTGCCCAGATATACCCCTCTTCCTTTGAGGCTGTTAAGAAAAATGTAGGGAATGGTTTTATTTATTAAAATCTAGCCTGATTCCTGACACAAAGCTTTCTTTATGTTTCCCTGAGGCTTCTTATTTGTAATGTCACTTCTCCAGGGAGAGCTTGACAGGCAGGTAACCCGGCACCTCCAAGGACAAGCAAGCTGAGCTCCTGTTGTATATCATAACAGAAGGTGGCCAGAACTAATCCTGCCTTTTTCCAGTGTTCCTGCTGAGAACACAAAGGAGGGAGAGGTGGTTTCCTGCCTTGTGTTTGCAATAGGCACTCAGAGACATTTATGCAAATTTCATGCTTTAACATTTTCAGCAATTCCCCTGGTATCCACAATCTTATCTGAATGTAGAAATCACACTTTCTACTCCCGACATAACAAATTTTTGTATCCCTACAGGTGGGGCGTGAAATCTTATATGTGTTACAGAAGATGTTTCTCTTTTGTACTTTTGTCTGTGAGTGTGTGTGTGAGAGAGAGATGTACAGGTACTCAAATCATGATTGTAATTGAGCCAAGAATTTTAGGCACAGTCCTTAAATGAATCCATTATACCAAAATAAACACCAATTTCTGGCAAAAAAAAAGTTCACAAATTGCAGTCACATGACTGCAGCGTGCTCCAAACAGTTATAAATGTGGGCAGAGTGCCAAGGGGCCAATCATGTGACTGCGAGGGTTGGTTGGGGGCGTTGGAACTTTGAAACTGGGTCTGAGTTTCGAAGTTTCTTAGAAAATAGCTCTTGGGAGGTCCATTGTCATTTCAAATGGCTGCTAAGCATCGACATTCATTCAAACTACTTCTAAGTCACAATTAAAATGTTTAACCTTCAAAAGTGGATAAGGTAATAAAATTACACATTTTATTACTCTGCAAAATGAGTCCACTTTACCTTCAAAGAGCCACAATTTTCACTCTCCTTGTCTTAAGAAACATTCGAGGCTGACTGCCATTTTTTCTCAGCATGCAAACACAAGTCCCACAGAATTCCTTCAAGGTCACCATTGGTGAGCAAAATCCAGTCTTGACTCTACTTTCAGTTTTTCTTTATTGGCAGATTTGTAAAATATCCCTGCAGTTCAGAGGTGGTATTCAGCAGGTTCTGACCAGTTCTGGAGAACCAGTAGCGGAAATTTTGAATAGTTTGGAGAACTGGTGGTAACCTTCCCCCAGGAGTGGGAAGGGAATGGAGATTTTACAGTATCTCTCCCCTGCCACACCCACCAAGCCACACCCACAGAACCGGTAGTAAAAAAAAATTGAATCCCACCACTGCTGCAAGTGTTACAGGTGAGTGGATGAGACTCAACAGTGGGAAGTCCCAGTTAACAATGGCTATTCAAGCCCAAACTTTCTCCAGATGCTGACAGAGATTGGAAGAGATCAGGAAAAGCAGAAATTCTGACTCCCCGGTGCAACATCTCATAAAATCTGCCCTATCTGCTGTACTTCAGCTGGTTGGGAAGTAAATAGACTTGATTGTCCAACAGTGACAACGGCATCTGATCATAGAAGCACTGCACTGGGGCCAAAGTCTTTTATAGAGGTGAGCTGAGATTTAATTACCAGAGCCGTGATAGCTGAGATTAATATCTCTTTAGTTTTTGGCATTTTAGGAATGGTGCTGTTGCTTTTAATCGTATGAAGGCTTCCTATGGTTTTATTACATTGATTTGTTTAACACTGCATTTTTAAACACAATTTTCTCTTTATTGGAAAACCGAAGTTGTTGGTCAGCTTTAAAATTTAATAAATTAATGTATACTTCACTCAGTTAATTGTTTTAGGTAGCTTATATGACAGCCAAACAACATTCTTCTGTATTATGGTGTGGCCAGCATAAAGCATGAAAGCTTTATGACTTTGGGCCAGTTATTCTCTCCCATTCCAACTCACATCGCAGGATTGTGATTGAAGAGAAAATAGGAGGAGAAAGAAGGTATGTTTTCTGCCTTGAATCGTTTCTAAAAAAAACCCAATAAACATGGGATAAAAAGCGTGGGTTTTTTTACAGCATATCTTGTGGACATTCCCACTGACTTATTTTCAAAAGTTTAATTTATGCAATACAAATTAAGGCCTTCTCTTTGACAGTAGGTGTTTCTCATTTGCACTACTTGTGCTTTATAAAGTAACATAAAGAAAATACTTTTCTCTGCTGAAAAATATAAATTCAGATTGGAGAAGAACCAATAAATGGGATGGAAGGAGAAAAGAGGGAAACAGCAGTATGGAGGATATTAATTCAGGTAGATAAACCTGGGTGTTCATTTCACTTAATGAAGACTAAAGTGTTAAATCCAAGTAAGTGTATAAAAATAATATTGAATATCCTGAGTATTGTTTCAAATTATTACAACAGAAAGATCAGTATAACATAAACTCAGGAAAAAAACAGGGAGGTAAGATTAGCTCACATTCGATGAGATTGTGGCCATAAATGTGTCCAGGTAGTCCTCATTTAGCAGTTACAATTGGGATTGATCTCTTTATTGTTAAGTGAAGTGGGCATTAAGTGAAACAGCAACTGTCCTTGTGATCTTATTTCAGCTTTCCTTTGCAGATTTGTGAAAGTTGTAAATGTGACAATTGGTCATAAAATTCCTTTTTCATTATTTTTACAACTGCAAAGTTTCACTAAATGAGGCAGTCAATAAATGAGGACTACCTATACTTATCTTTGAATTCAGGAACATCTGTTTTGTCTATATGAAAGTTCCTATTAAATATATGCAGCCAAACCATGTTTTTGTTAACCATGTTTTATGGAACAACACCCAAGTAGTTAGGATCTGACAATGAGCAATGTCATAATTCACAGTCAGCAAGTAGCTGGCTTCACCTGATGAATCTAATCAAAGAAAAGCAGAGTATGGCTTAGTGCTACAGTATGTATAAACTAAGCCAATAAACATGTTTGCATGCAATGCTAAATCCAAGCTGGGCATGAAGTAAGCCACTAGATCATGTTCATGACCATTGATACAATATCAGGTGCAAACTTCTGGATTTGTGTGCCGTTCCCATGTGCAGCTGTTCCTTTGTGTGGTTCATTTAGCTCTAAACAAGTTGTTAACCCATTTTTAAAGCAAAAGTTTGTTTGTTTGTTTACAGAAAAGATGGCACCCCATGCAGGATCCGTAGGACCAGTCGATTTACCCCTAGAAACTGAAGAACAGCTGATTAAGCGAATGATGTCCAGAAGGCAAAAGATAATTGCAGAAATACTCCAAACAGAAAGAGATTATCTTAGTGATCTGGAACTCTGCATTAGAATAGTGGTTGAGCCCTTGAAAAAAAGGCAGGTAAGGAAGTTTTGGTCCTTCCTCCCTCCCTCCCTCCCTCCCTTCCTTCCTTCCTTCCTTCTCTTTTTCTACCTTTATCTGAAAAAAGCAAAGAAGCTGGATGCAATTGCTACTTTACTTTCAGGTCCAATTCAAAATGTTGGTCTTGAAAGTCCTTTATGGCATGGGTCCAGGATATCAGAGGAACTGGCTTACCCCATAACTTGTCTCACTCATTCCAGTGAAAAGGTCCTACTTTGGATCATGTCAGCCAAATAATTTTGGCTGGTGAGATCCAGAAGAAAGAGAAATTAGTTGTGTTCACAAGATAAATGAAGCACAAACTAGGTAAATTGAATTTTACTTAGTGTGGTGTGTGAACTTAAGTGATAAATGTATGGTTCAGTCAGTTGTTTGTACATAGGAAATGAAATTGAGAAAGCCAATATTCAGTTAATTCAGTGGTGTGTCATGCAAAATGCATGTGCGAATGTAATGTCTCTGCTACATGAGCTGTACTAGGTGCCAGTTTGCTTCTGGGTCCAATTCAAGGTGTTGGTCATCACCTTTAAAGCCCTTCATGGCAAGGGACCAGGTTACCCGAGGAACATATCGTCTCAACTACATCAACCCATCCCACCCAGTCAAGCAGAGAGGTCGTGTTTCATATCCCATTCATTAAGGACAGGGGTCCCCAAACTTGGCAACTTTAAGGCTTGTGAACTTCATAGCTGGCTGGAGAATTCTGGGAGTTGAAGTCCACAAGACTTAAAGTAGTCAAGTTTGGAGACCTCTGTCCTTAACGAATGGGATATGAAACACGACCTCTCTGCTTCAACTGGCAGAACCAATTGAACCAGGAGGAAGGCCTTCTCTGCTGTTACCTCTGTTCTCTAGAAATTTTACCCTCAATCTTCTGAATTATGAGGCAGCCCTGGGGACAGCTGGTGGCTTGAGGGCACTGCCACATTTTTGTAAACTTTTTAGCCTTTTGAATGTTTAACTTTGACTTTCACTTCAAGCTTATAAGTTTTAAATTTTTTTTATATAATAGGTCTCCCAGGCAGGGAGACCAAAGCCGCCTCTGCTTTTCTTGTCTTGTGAACAAATTTTCTTAATTCTTGACTTCTTGCATGCCCAAATGAATTTCATAGTAATTTCATCCAATTCTTTGAAAAACGATTTATCCAATAATATAGGGATCATTTGGAATAAATGAAGCAATTTGGGTAGAACATTCATTTTAATAAGTTTTAACTTTTTATCTGTTCAGGTTTTATTTATTATTGGTTGTAAATTACCGAGTCACTTAGTTGAGGTGGGCATCATAGAAATTTATTAAATAAAGCCAGAGAGGCTGTATTTGCACATGCAGATAGCTAACAATATTTTATAGTAATTTGCTTTGTAGACCCCAACCGCAGGGTACTACAACTGAGACAGTGATGCGAATGGAAGTGCTTATTACAATTATATCTTTTCATGCAGGTTTTATTCTGTCAGTTTGTTGTTCAGCCGGCACTTCTGAAATGTCTGGCTACTTCTTAAATAGCACATTCTGAATTTTGTTTTTCAAGTAAAACAGCCTGCTCTATTAAAAATATTTTTTTATTATTTTTTGCACATTTTTATTATTTTTGCACATTTTGTTTTTGTATTATTAAGTGGATCTGTATGGCTGCTTTGTATATATAGCATTGCAACAAAAAGGATGACTTTTATAGACTGTTAGGAATTAATAATCAAACTGATAATCTAAATTATTTCCATTATTACTTTTAGTGTTATCACATTTTTGTTTGCGAAACTCACCTTAAGGTAGGGGAACTTTCTTTATTGGGAGGTGGCTATGAGGGGAGAGAGAGTATTTGCCATTCTCCAAACTTGTGTTGTATTGTCCTTCAGTTTAATTGTATTGTCTTCGTTACTTAGTTGTATTGTCCTTCAGCTTCCATAATCTTTCAGACAGTATGATTTTGATTGCACTGCTTAAAACAATTAATGAAGACTGAACTATACATATCCTGCCATGAAAATATATCAGCTGAAAATGTTTGCATTTATATTTCTTTTACATATTTCTTATGTTATGTATTTATACTGTAATGAAAATATTCAATCCTTTTCAATCCAGTTCTTTAACCTGTTGGTTTCAAATCTTAGCAGCAATGCATACATTTTGGCTTATTATATGGTCATCATAACCATTCCAAATTCAGTTTTGTTTTGTTTTTATTCCAACTGTCCTTTTATTTTACCCTTTCTTTCATCTGATCATGAGAAAACCCACTGAAAAGTGAGTATGTAACGTGAGTTTCTGAACAAAATAGTAGATTGACAATAGTATAATCCCATTTTTCCCCAGTTTTTACCCATTGTTTTGGTTTCATTAGATTGCTCGACTTGATGTGGACAGCTTATTTAGCAACATTGAATCGGTCCATGAAATATCATCCAAACTGTTGTCATTGTTGGAAGAAGCAACATTAGATGTGGAACCAGCCATACAAATAATTGGTATGTTGTTGTCTTCCTGAATTCTACAGAGTTACCTGGAGCAATAACAACAATTGTAATAATAATGCTGCCATAATTTTCCATTGCTCCAGCCAGAATCAAACTTATCTGTTTATTTTTCCAAACTACCATTCCAAGTAGTAAGCAAATGAAAAATGGAGAATCAGGCCCATAATCAACTGGCAACATCATACACACCTAGCTTAATCCAGGTGGCAACAGCTCCTATCAGACTTTCTTACTGATGCTTCTAGCAGCGTATAATTGTACTAACTGGGTCAAATCTCTTTTATTTTGGAGAGCCCTGGCCCCAGGACGTGGGAAGGCCCCATGCATCAGGATTGCTATAACAAGGCTTTTACGTTTGGTGCATGGGAGTAAAGAGGCAGAGGCTAGATTAAGGCTTTATTGTAATAAAGTAACTCAGCTGCGGCTTGCCACAAGCTAACCAGGCAGCCGGCTGACAGAAAACAGCTGGTTCTGTTTGACAGCTCCTTCTATACGGAGCTGTCAAATGGACCCAGCCAATCAGGGAGGGCTCCAGTTCCCCCTCAAAGAGTGGACCTGAGTGAAGACTCTTGCTGGATGCAGCAAAGGCTTTGTCATTTCTAGGCCCTTCTCGATTTGTCAGGCTGGAAACAGTAGACCTGTTTGCCGATCAGTGTTTGAGAGCAGAGATATCTGCTTCTGGGAGCCTGAAAAGGCAGAACATTTATGTGGGTCTGAAACAAATGGGTGATATTTGGCACTGCTAAACTGCCGTCTTCCCTTTTTTGACATCCTGTTCAGAGCTGTGTTTCATATTACTTGGCTGCCAAGTGTATATTCTGCAATGGAGAGGGTTGCTTTGTAGCTCTTTTTCTTAGGGAATATGCAAACAGATCAATTGACTGGCTCTAAGAGTTTCTAGGATACAGATGACTGAACTGTGTTACTTAACCCTTTTCAAACGAACCACACAAAGATGAGTTGTCTTGCGCTAACTACACTCTAAGCCTCCTCTAACCCTGTATGTTTATTGGATTATATTCTGTTTTTCATCCAAGGACTCAAAGCAGCCTAGAGTTTATATTTTTATTTTACTTTCACAACAACAGTGTGTTTCCATGGCTAAGACTGGACTTGAATTTGGGTGCCTAGAGTTGCAGTCCAACACCTCAGTTACTACATCTCATACTGGGTCAGCCTAGAAAAAAAAAGACAAAGCTGCATAAAAGGAACATCTTCACACACAAGGGTTTTAAAAGTTTCCCAAATTGTTTTTTATTTGATGTCATATAAAGCACACATAACTGACCTTTCATTAGTTTCTGAATTATCATATCTAGCATTCTTCACAATGTCTAATTTTGCCCTGGAGTTTTTATTTTTATTTTTTTGCTTTTTTTTCCTATGAACGCAAAAGCTAAATCACTTTTTGATCTTTTAGTTGGTCCTCATTTATGTCATGATATAATTCAATATTCTATAAATAATATGTTAGATCAGGCAGGATGGGCAAACATATACCCAGAACACATTCGTGTACTTTGCTATGAGTAATGATTTGTTATTTTCCTCCTCCTATGTTTTTTCAATTTCTTAATCTAGCCTACAGCTCTTAGATTTCAGATGATCACCCATCCAAATTCTAAACAGAACCAAAGCTGAAGATTTAATCAGATTGAATAAATGTTTAACTTCCATGAACATACATGCACATGCATATGTGTGTGTGTGCCCGCACACACACACACACACACACAAGAAGGCCTGACATCCAAATTGTGATTAGAGTTCTGAAGATAGCAAGATTTACTTTGGAGTATTTGAGTTTGAAGATGTAATTCATAAATATATCAACCATATGCTGTAGTGGAAAAGCATCAAAATGTCCACAGTGCTTTTTGTAACCTGTAGCTTTCTGAGTGTTTGGGTTCACACCCCAAAGTTAGCACAAATGACACAGAACACTAAAACAAAAGGAAGTGCTTCATGATTTAAAGGGATTAATGAAACCAGCCGATCTATAGTTAATCTTAGAAGAAACAAGAATATTATTGTTCACTGTAAGTGTTGCTATGTGATTCCTGGTTTAGAGAAAACAAGGCAGAAAAATAATCATGTTTCATTATAGTTAATTATAAGTTGAATGGCTTTTTTGAGACAAGCCTTCTACAGCATCCAAGGACACTCTGATTGAAGGCCTTTGGTAGGTTGTTGATTCATATTCTTAGTAGTGTTATTAAAATAAATGATGTGAATGGCTGAGTAAAAAGAAGGTTTCCTTTTCTTATGCATGCAGTAAAAAGGACATGGCTCCATTTAATCATATCCATGTGCATGTTATCTGTAATGAAAGCTAAGCATTTAGCCTCTTGTCAACCCAGTTCACCTTTCTGTGTTTGGCATTTATCTTAGTTAGTAGACACAAAGGAAAAATCAAAGACTGAATTGTTTTGTCCCAAATTAACTAGAAGCTGAAATAAATGCACTGCAGAGAGGTGCTGCTTTTTACAGATATGTATTTGCAGCTGAGGTATCAGATGAGACCATGTCTTATGCGTTCACATTTTTGTACCTGCCTCACACTCTTAATGAGAGGTAAATTATTTCAGGAAATTTCTTTCTAGTTGCTTTCAAGAAGTCAAAGATTGACTTCCTTTTTGGTGTGTGCTTTTCTTTGTTTAGGGTTTACCTTTCATAACAGCTTGGTGTTTCAAAATCAAGCAAAGTCATTGTATGCCCCTGAAGTTGGCTATCACTGAGCTTCTACCATTATTGTGACTACTGAACAAATGGTTTAATTTAGTATCCAGTATAAATCAAGGAGCCAACAGTGCTGTGCTTTATTTTCAAACCAAGAACATAAAGATTGGTTTGTACATCCCAACTTAACTGCGAATGACAAGGAAAGATTCTTAATGCAGGTTATACCTTAAAGAAACAATTCCTATTGCTGAAATCATGGATAACTTTTTGATCTTATAGTTCTCCAAAGTTGACTTGAACCAAAGAACTGTCCTGTGTAAAATAGCTTTTCTTTAAAAAAAAAAGTTTTTAATGGGTGTCATTTAGAGGTGTCAAATTCAAGGCCCAGGGGCTGGATCCGACCCATGGGGTGCTTAGATCTGGGCCACAGAGCCACCCTAGAAACAGCAAAGGACTGACCCATGGTGCCTCTGCCAGCGAAAAAGGAGCTTGGGAGGGCAACGTGTGGCCCTCCCAGGCTCCATTTTCAGCTCTGAAGGCCTCCTGCCCCACTCTTCCAGTGAAAATGGAGCTCGGGGGGGGGGAGCTCTGTTTTCACTGGCAGAGGGTGGCAGGAGGTCATCACAACTGAAAATGGAACTCTGGAGCCCGTTTTCATTGGCAAACCACTTGGGCCCTGACATGAGTGATGCCCCTGACATGAGTGACATTACTCACCCCACCTTTGAGGTCAAACACCCCTGAGGTCAAACACCTGATGCAGCCCTCAATGAAATCGAGGTTGACACTCCTGATTTAGAGTAATATTCAGTAATTGCAGCACTATCAGTAGTGGTATTCTACTGGTTTGGCCCGGTTCTGGCATATTGGTAGCACTAAAGATTGGCAGAGACCAAACCGATTCTCTCTGAGGAGCTTCTGGAGCTGCTGTTGGGCCCACCTGCCCACCCAGGCTCCCATACTGACCTTTATTCCCTGCTTTTGAAGCATAGCAGTGACAGGGAGAGTGCAAGATTGCAGGTGAGTAGGAAAACCTCTGCGCCTGCGCAAAGTGCACACGCGCAAAACGCCCCACCAAGCCACGCCCACCGAACCATTTGCAAACTATTTTGCAACCCACCATTGAGCACTACCACTGAGAAGGGCAATTGAGATTCCAACTCATAGGTAGACAAGCAGGAAACAGAATTTCCAAGACCCACTGTAAGTGTCATACAGATTTTAGAGGAGACAGTATATCCTTTTACAAATTTTACGGAGACCATGTATCATCTGACAGTGGATTTATTTTGGCTTATATGTATTTTTGACTTTCCCAGGTCAGGTATTTCTACAGATTAAAGATGTACTAGAAGAAGCATACAAAATCTACTGTTACCATCACGATGATGCTCATCTTCTTCTGGAATTCTATGAAAAGGATGAGGAATTGAAACAATGTATAAAAGACTGTCTACATTCCTTGAAGTAAGATTTTTAGAAAACATTGTTTTAATTTTTTGTTTATTGTATGGCATATGCGAGAGCTAATGTTTATTATAAATCCTGAATTATATGAGAGTTGGGGGGATTATATTTTCCTTGCTTTATTAAGGGTCATCCTGTTTTTTCAAGAAGTTATTTGATTAGATTTATCTAATGCTTTTGACTCCTTTTACATGGCTTCAAAGAATTAAAAATGTTAGCAAAAATACAATATTACCTTTTATCTTTATGTTACTTTTGCTTTATTATTATTATAAAGATAAAAACTAATACAAGCTAAAAAACAAAGAATAAAAATAAAACAATATAAAGTGCAGAAAAAATTAGAAAAGAGGAAAGAAAACATTAAAAAAGGAAAGATATATAAAGAAATGACTTACCCTTTTACCAAAAGTATAAACAATTTCAATAAGTTATCACTTTCTCATAAAATACAATAAATGATATCTTTTTCTCATATCCCATATCATATTTATAAACAATCCTTAAAGACTCATTGTTTCAGTACTGAGCAGTAAAAGTCCATTAAAGATCATCAGAGATAACAAGATATTCATTTAACCTTAATCAAATAAATCAATTTTATATTCCTTCCTTTTAATAATCTTGATCTTTAGTCTCTTCAAATAATGTCCTGGTTTATTTATTTTCTTTCTTTCTTTTTTGTTTCTTCTCATAAAATTCTTCAAAGATTTAGCCTCTTTTGTAAATCCAATATAGTTAAATTATCCAGATTATTCTCTTGATTTGTTTTTGTATCTACAGTACCTTTTCATTCTTAAGATATCAGCCAATTTTTTATATGTCCAGTGTAACATGTTTGTCCATGTCACAACCTGTCATTTTAAAATCAAATTTAAATCAATCGTCATCATGTCAGGTAACACTTGTTCCACTTCCATAGCATCTTTTAAATAGATATTATAGTAACTCATATTTTTAAAACTAGTTGACTGTTAAAAAAAAAATCAATATGTTTAATGTTAAAATATTTTGCTTTATTCTGTATTAGTAATTTCGTCTCCTTTGATTGTAACATTTAGTTCCTTCCAGTTCTCTCTATTGTCTAATAGTTAAAGTCTTATTACCAGTATATATTTTTTAATAATTCAAAACAAAAGCATTTTCCCACAGGAAAGATTCTTTATAATTAATTCCAAAATCTTACTTCAAATCCATCTGGACTGTTTGTAACTTTCTAAAATCAAAATTCTAATTACCCTTTTGCGGTTTATTTTTTTTAAAAATTAAGCCCTTACATTTGTATTTAAAACGTGTGTGACTAAAAATGGAAGGAAATTCACCTGTAAAACATGTAAATCCAAAGATTCCTACTATCCAAAAATCAGTTAATAAGCAATTTCCAAAAGTGATTAGAAAAGTAGGTAAAACCAGTGCCCTTAAAGGTGCCAACTGTGGGTCGAACAAGATGCCTATTGTCTCCCAGAGCTCTAAACCTACCAAAGATGGCTGTCTTGCATTCTCCTTGCATGGAGCAACTTTAAGGAGAACTTCTGGGTGATTTCAGGTATTCGCCTTGTCCAGAGGGGAATTACAAAGAGCCAGTCCACTTTCCAATTCTTCATTCCTGCGCAGCTGTTGGTTCCACTTTTAGCGGAGCTTTCTTCAATTCCTCACCAGAAATCCAAAAAGAGAATATTAAGAATGGGTTTCCTTATTATTATTCATGCAATAAGGCCCAAAAATTCATATATTTAAGTTGTACACCACAGTTCTATTTACTGGGGTTGTGAAAATTCCAGCAATTGAATGGAAGCACTTGGGCATTATCCTCTTCCAACTTTTGGAATTTTCTGGAAGGGTTGATATGAGACAGTGAAGTGAAGCCATAAGAGTGCTTGACTCTTGCTTGTCTCTTTGAAACAAGTGGAATGTAGGCTTCATGAAGTAGATTGGAAAAGAATAATTCACTGAGGAATAAATAAAGTGAAACACCTTTTAGAAAATTGCATGATCTATCTAATATTCCATTGTTCTTCAACAAAGCAGTAGTTAGAAGTTATTTATTCATTAATATTTTTTTGTTAAATGCCTCATCTTTTCTCAGGGCCACACAAATAGAACTTTCCCTTAATTTTATTCCCACAACATTACAATATAATATCAAAATGTGCTAAATCTAAAATTGAAGTAAAGATCCAAAAGTCCCATTGCGCTAGCAGAGATATGTAATATTGAAAAAGTTACTGCCTTATTATAGTAATACTAAATCAAAATCGAATTTGGTTTAAGCACTTAGGGTCTACAATATGGCTTTTGGATTCCTCCTGTGTCCTTTAGGTTTTATTTTTAACAATAAATACTTCATTCTTTTATTGTTATTCTTTTATATATTCTTTTATTCATCTTAACAATGAAAGAGGTGGGTGACTCCAGCCTGTATTTTGTTAAGAAGTATGTTTATCTGCCAAGAAAAAAAAATACAAAGGTAAGCTGAGGTGATAGAATGCATCTGGGAGACTTAAAGATGCACTTGTTTATCATGGAAAAATAATTTCAACAGTTCTGGAAAATTGGTATGTTGTATCTTGTTAGATTCTCTGTGATAGCCATTTCATCAGATGTCTGTGACAGTTCTCAAAATACTTAATGACCTCTGGCTCAAAAAAAAAAAAATCAAAGACACCTGAATTAGGATTAGCCTACTAATATTCTCTAATTCAGCTAATTTTGTTGACTGCCAGCAGTTCGGCAGTTCGAATCTCACCAAGCTGAAAGTTGACTCAGCCTTCCATTCTTCTGAGGTGGGTAAATGATTGTTGTGGCAATACGTTGACTCTGTATTATATAAGTCTAAGTGCTATTGTTATTTCTTTTCTTAAGAGACTGCTAATGAGTGTGTATTTCTTTTTCTTTTTGCAGAAAGATATATGAAGAAGGGTAAGTTATACATTTATTTAGATGTATTACAATATTGCATCCCTCCTGCATTTGGGGTGGATAATTGTGAAACCTATTTATATGTATAATACAGGTAGTCATCAACTTACAGTTTACTTAGTGACTATTCAAACTTACTGCACTGAACAGCACTGAACAGCACTGAAAAATGTGACTTATGACTATTTTTCACAGTTATGACTGCTGTAGCATCCTCATGATCATGTGCTCAAAATTCAGATGCTTGGCAACTGGCTCATACTTATGACCATTACACCGGCCCTTTTAGGACCTTCTGACATGAAAAGTCAGTGAGGAAGCCAGATTCACTTAACAACTGGGTTAATAACTTATCAACTGCAGGGATTCATTTAACAATTGCACAAAGGTCGTAAAATGGGGCAAGTCTTATTTAACAAATGTCTGACAGAATATATAAAAATTTTGGGCTCAACTGTGGTTGTAAGTTGAGGGCTACCTATAAGATCCTTATTATCTCTTGTTATGTACATAAATCACTGAATATGTTCCAAAAGTATTCCACTTTTTTTGGATATCAATAAGAGTATTGAGAAAACCATGGACAGCCAAGAAAACAAAGGGATTGTCAAACAAATCAGCCCAGAGTTCTTGTTACAAGCACAAATGAACAGGCTCAAATTATCCTGCTTTGGCCACCTTATGCAAAGACCCAGCTCTCTGGAAAAGGCTGTAATAGTGGTAAAGGTGGAAAGAAAGAAAAGAAGAGGGTGGCCAGCAGCAGAGTGGATGGACTTAGAATGGCATAAAACAATAACAGAGTTGGAAGGGACCTAGTCAGGGATGGGATGCTACCGGTTCTGCCTAGCTCTATAGAACTGGAAGCTCTGAAGAGCAGCCGACACAGAACCGGTTTTGTGTCTGCTGCTGTTTGGCCTACCCGCTCTTACCTGATTTTATTTCCTGCTTTTTCAACCGCAGCTGCTTTGGGTGGCACAGCTGAGGTTGAAAAAGCAGTAAAAAAAGTGCTTTTTGAAATTCTGCGCACCCACGCACAGCTCTTATCAGCTGTCCCAGTGGCTCAGTTAATGGTGTAGTACGCTCATGTGTGCCAAACGCAAAAACCGAACTGGTAGTAATGCTGATTGAATCCCACTCCTGGACCTAGTCCAACCTCCTGCTCAAATAGGAGTTCCTATACCCTTCCAGACAAAAAGGTTCCCCAATCTCTTCTTTAAAAGCTCCAGTGTTGGAGCATTCACAACTTCTGGAGGCAAGTCAAAACCACTGATTATTTTTTCTGTCAGGAAATTTCTCCTTATTTCTAGGTTAATTCTCTCCTTGATTAATTTCCATGCATTGCTTCTTGTTTTGCCTTCAGGTGCTTTGGAGAAGAGGTTGGCCCCCTTTTGTTTGTGACAGATACTAGAACATTGCTATCATGCCATCCCTAATCCTTCTTTTCATTAAACTAAACTAAACATTAAACTGAGCAGGTTAGGGGCAGTTCATTCAGAAAACATATCTATACGGTGAGGAGTATCACGTACAGTAGTCCTTTGAGGACTAAGAATAAAAAATGATTTGATAGAACATAATCAAGCAAAAAAAATTTTTTTTTTAATGTCTAGTAAAAAGATAGACAAGGAAGAAGGAGATCAGAAACAGAACGTAATCTCAATCCAACATTCATAGAGTATATAAAAGACCTGGATGAAGTCAACCAGCTCACTCTCATCCTCTGGGAAGACAAAAGATGTACCTCCTCATACCTTCATCCCCATCATGCCTTCTTTATAGCATTAAACGTTCATGAGGTCATGTTATCCATGAAGCTCTACATGGAGCTCCTCCTGTAAGGGTATCAGTAGTTTGTTGGCTTCACGCAACAAAAGGAAGGCAAATAAATAAATAAAGCATGTTTTGGCTTAACAGCTTTGGTAAACCCATTTTTTTGTTGATTTCTGAATGATTGGGTGTGTATACAGTAGTTTTGAACTCTAAATACAGCAGCCTTATAATTAAAGAAAAAAAATCAGGAAACACTTTCCAGCTTACCCAATTTAACCTAATCATTATTGGTGCAGTACCTCTGGTCATGAATGGAACTTGTTTGTGACCTAGCATAATATATATACTTGTCTTATAACAAAACATCAACACAGTTTCAACAACTGACCTACCCTTCCCTGGCCAGTGAAAACTTTTTAATTAGAAAACTTGCATGGTTTTGTGATCCTGAGTTGGAATAATAAAGCTCTTGTCTCAATCAAATGTACCTAAGGTTGTGCATGTACAAATAATATCAAAAGACAAAAAGAGATCTTACCTAGGCATATCAATAGCAGATGTGCATTAAATTACTCGTGCTGAATTTCTGCAAATTAATGTGCCCTTATCATTGTCAAAGTATAGGCCAAAAGCTGTTGCACAGATTATGAATTGGTCAATAATTCATTAGCCTTTCAAAATACAATTTATGGATGGGGCTGTTTGGACTAGATACAGGGGATTCATGTAACCTCCAAGGCTCCAGACACAATAACAGGCTCTGTTCTTTTTGGGAATCCTAATGAGCATTTTGGCATGTGGGTTTCTGCACATCTTTCTACTAGATGTTCCAGCTCCACAATAACCCTTTTCTTTAAGCTCTACCCAGAGCCCTTAACTCATAGCAAAGACAGTATGGTGGTGATTAGCAGAATAATTTCTCTATGACATCCTATGAATAATTTTGAGTCATTTAGGCATGCACACACACACACACACACACACACACACACACAGCTGCAAAGAAATGAGAATCCTTCTGTGTGAAGCTTTTGTATTTCAGTTTAAACAGAGAAACGGAGTTCTCTGTACTATGAAGTAGGAGCTCCCCCAAGCTGTCAGATATGGCTGGAATAACTCTGCTCAGACAACTGAGTTACTGGCAGAAATTAATTTCCTGATTCTGCAGCATCGATCCTTTTATTTTGTTTTGCTTTTAAGTAAAGTCTTCTTCATGTTGAGCTTGAATCCTGATGACTTCATAGACACGTACTGCAGTTCATGCAGTTTTCCTCGAGATAATATAGAAGTGGCTTGCCACTAACAACTGAGATTTTGTTGTCTCCTAGTTTGATTTGCAGCCATGTTATTTAGGAAATGACTCTGCCAAGATTAGATGTACACCTGGGAAAAATAATACCAATTCCAACTTTAAAAAGCAAACAAAATATGCTATACTCTATGTGCCAGTGAGTCAAGAGGGAAGCACAACAAGTTCATCAACGGTTTATTAATCTAATCTAATCTAATCTAATCCAATCCAACCTAATCTACAGTATATTTGGGTTGCTGGCTCCCAGGAAAAAAAAAACTCTGATTGCAAAAGATGTAGTAGCCTGTCCATTTCTTGTACCATAATGACAGTCTGATTTATAGAAAGAAACAAGCAAGCTTCCCAAGTCATGGAAAGAACACATTTGCAGCTGCTAAACTTCTACTGCTTTGCCAGTAGAAAGAAGGTCAAAATCTGATTGCACTAGTTATATTAAATTAATTGCAAGTGAAGTTTTATTTCCAGTCTGATACAGTGAAGTTTTGTGCTAGTATACAGTAAATGATAAAATGCCCTAACTGGCAAAATGCACTCTCTGCTCACTGTAATGGGAGCATTCCCTCAGCTCTGCATAATCATCACAAATGCTATTAAGTCTTGGTTTGAAATTAGCTCAGATTCAAAATTTTGGTGTCACTTAAACCATTCAAAAATAATGTTTTTATAAAATAGACAAATATCTCTTGCCATTTGCAGCAGTATTTAAGCTATCTGCTTAGCCATAACCAGCGGTGGGATTCAAATTTTTTACTACCGGTTCTGTGCATGGCTTGGTAGGTGTGGCAGGGGAAGGATACTGTAAAATCGCCAGTCAGAGGTGGTGTTTGCCGGTTCTCCAAACCAGTGGCCCCCAACCTTTTTTGTGCCACGGCCCGGTACCGGCATCACAAAATGATCCGCGGCCTGGTACCGGCATCAGCACGCATGGCAGGGCGAGCTGAGTGACCGGCCAGCCAGCCATCCCCCGCTTCTCCCCGCCACCTTCAACTCCTCCTTTGTACCTTTGTCGATGGGCTTCGGGATGGCTTCGGGACGGCTTCGGGACGGCTTCGGGACGGTCGCTCGGCTCGCCTTGCCTTGGGTGCTGAAAGAATCCTCACGCCTTCGTTTTGTTCGAAGCCACCACCACCCCTTCGATGAAACTAAGGCGCGAGGATTCCTACAGGACCCAAACGCCGCTTTCCAACCGGAAAAGCTCACTGGAAGCACTTTCTCATCAAAACAAGATGGCGGCGCCCAGCAAATCGGCAGCCCGGTAGAAAATGTTCCACAGACCGGTACCGGTCCGGGGCCCAGTGGTTGGGGACCCCTGCTCCAAACTACTCAAAATTTCTGCTACCGGTTCTCCAGGACTGGTCCGAACCTGCTGAATACCACCTCTGCCCACAGCTAATTGAATTATCATTTACTAAATTAAGCAAACACCTTGGGCTTGCACTTAGACAGGAAGCTAAGGGATGTGATGGCTCAGTGGTTAAAGATGCTGAGCTTGTCAGCTGGAAAGCTGACAGCCAATGTTCGAGACCCAAGCACCGTGTGATAGGGTGAGCTCTTGTTACTTCCCCAGTTCCTGCCCACCTAGTAATTTGAAAGCATGCAAATGCAAGTAGATACATAGGTACTACTTTAGTGAGATGATAACAGTGTTCCATGTGCCTCAGCATGTATTGGCCACAAAGCCACCAAAATGTCATTGGACAATGCTGGATCCTTCACTAAGAAACAGAGATGAGCACTGTCTCCTAGAGTCAGACATGATTGGAAAAGGGAAACCTTTATCTTTACCTTTAGCCAGAAAGTTTGCTTTGTACACCATGCTGAGCTAAACTGCAGTACTATGTTTGTGGTTTAGCGTGCTAAGACAGCACAGTCATTGAAAATGTGGGAATTATAATAGAAGGGAATTAGACTTTTGTGCCCTCTAAGATTCATTCACAAAACAATGGAAGGTGTTGACTATATGGCACACTAAACAACGAAGATGCTAATGCGTTTGCAAAACTAGGTGTGTCTATAATTGTAATAATCAAATATTCATGCTAACATTTCCCCACTACTCATAAGCCTGTTACGGTAAGAATTGCTGTGAGTGTGGGGTTGTTGTGAAAGTTAATTATTACAAGGAAATACATTCTTCTTCCCTATTTTGCAAGAACTCTCTTTTATACTTAACATGGCTTAATTTAAATTTCAGGGGAAAACCAAATCTATTGGATATGGGATCTTTGATGATCAAACCAATACAACGTGTCATGAAGTATCCTTTGTTATTGTGTGAGCTCTTGAATGCCACTCCTAAGTCTCACCCCGACCACAAAGCATTGCAGGATGCCTTGGTTGCTATGAAAGATATGAATATGAATATAAATGAACTTAAAAGGAGAAAGGATATAGGTAAGAGAAAGTCAACAATATGGAATATCTCTGTAAGAACCTGCTTGTATGACCTTTTCAGAACAATGAAATGACCATTATAGAAAATAAGATGCTGGGCCATATTGATTTGTTTCCTATATGGAATGAAATTTGAAGCTTGCATGCATGGCAAGCAGCAGCAAGCAGCTTTGTTTTAAATATAGGTACTTGAGGAATGACTGTGAAAGAACATCATTCTCCTCATTTCCATTCTTGCAAGATTTCAATAAATTTGGCTGGCCACTGTGAAAACAGAGGATCAGACCAAACAAATCTTTGACTGAATCTACTAGGAATTTTCTTGTGGCTAAAGCTTAGATAGAATAGAATACAATTCTTTATTGTCCAAATGTGATTGGACACACAAGGAATTTGTCTTGGTGCATATGCTCTCAGTGTACATAAAAGACAAGATACATTCGACAAGAATCATAAGTACAACACTTAATAATAGTCATAGGGTACAATAAGCAATCAAATCATACTAGGAAACAGTCATTAAAAATCATTAGGTTACAAGCAACAAGGTTACAATCATACAGTCATAAGTGGGAGGAGATGGGTGAAAAGAAGGATGAGAGGATTAATAGTAATAGTAATGCAGACTTAGTAAATAGTTTGACAGTGTTGAGGGAATTATTTGTTTAGCAGAGTGATGGCATTCGGGGGAAAAACTGTCCTTGTGTCTAGTTGTTCTGGTGTGCAATGCTCTATAGCGTCATTTTGAGGGAAGGAGTTGAAACAATGTATGTCCAGGATGTGAGGGGTCTATAAATATACAAGTGAAATGCCCTTCCTGAGAGGGTTGTTCATCCCACATTAATCTAGCTTGATCTAAAGACCTGACCAAATTATTTATTTACAAATTAAGCCATGGATTGATTTATAACAATTATGGGCAATGCAATTGGAATGAAAGACAGTGGACCTGTTCCTGTGGGATTCTTATTTTATGGAATCTTTAATTTTAGGAAAGTGATTCTGTCACTTTAATGAGCGGTGTAGTGGCTTAGAGATGGAGTCTTACCTCACAATCTGGAGGCTGTGAGTTCAATCCTAGGTAGAGGCAGAGATTTCTCTCTCTGGGCAGGATGAGAATATATCTGCTGAATATAACTCCACATTGGCGACAGGAAGGGCAGTAAACACTCGGCTCCATTCAGTTGCCCAGACTCCTCCCTGCAAGGGATTATGGAGTCATTAAAAGATGATGATTCTGTCACTTTAATACTGGTATCTGTCTGATTTCAGAATGATTGTTCTGCATAGTGAAAGTAAGCCAAACTTATTTGTAATACTTTCTCCTGATGGAAAGATTGTTGTAACAGAAGCATTTAGATAGGATCTTTAGTCAAATTCAAGCTACAATAATTACACTTAGCATTAAGTTTTAAAATTCATTTGGCCTGTACAAAGCATTCCTGAAAGAAATTTGAAAGCATCAACACCCACTTATTAACCCCAAAAATGTAGTGAGGCATATAACCAGGATCCAAATATTATGCAGGTACTTCATACTTATGACCTTTCAGCAATCCAGGGCCTCCCCAACTACCTGAGGCACCAAGTGCTCCAGAATATCAACTGCAGCAGAGATTGCTGGAATTCGATGGGCATCTCACTTCATGGCCACAAAGATGTATGACCATAATTTTGGTTTGAACTGTGGTCATAAGTCGAGGGCTACATGTACAGGAGCCCTAATCTGCTTAACTATTGAGCTAACTACAATTGGCTGGTTTCACACATGGTGCCCAGTCATATGTCATATGGTATGGTAAGTTAAAATCAAATTAATACCATTTTGTATTAATATGATTTGTAAATTCAGCACTCACTTAATATGACAATAATCTATGCTTTAAATTTGGCTTATTTTTGGATAGGCATGTTCTGTATGTACATATAAGCTTATCTGATCAAAAAATAGGGCTGCAAAAATCTAAATGATTATTAGATGGCAGCAAATTGTCTCTGTTTCTATCCAACAACACATTGTTTGGCATTTCACAACTCAGATCTGGGAGTCCAACAAATACTCTTCCAGAAGAGCTTCTGGGAGCAAAAACACCCCCCTAGAGGCTCCTCTGATGACAGGAAGGCCCCCAAAATGGGGTGGGGGTGGTTAAAAAAAAGCCATGCACAGCCAATCACATGGTCGTGCCCACCTAGCCATGCCCACCTAGCCACGCCCACAGAAACGGTAATAAAAAAAATTGAATCCCACCACTGCTTCAAACATATTATAGCATGTTCTTTTTAGGATCAAAGCAATATTCATTTGGTTTACAATTCAGTTTTCAACAATTATTAACTTCAAAGTGATAGACATTCCTTGCATTTAGAGTTCATGGGTATCTCATCTCTTTATATGGGAATTCCCTTGGGCTATTGTTCTTCATAAAAAACAATATATGCTTATTCATAGGCAAAAATAATCATTAAATCCCAGAACTAAAAAGCACATTTTGTTCCCATCTTATTTATCTTAACGCATGAGAAGACTGAAAAAGTTGCTACAGCTTTAGTTGCATTTGCTTAAGGCATATAAATAAAAGTAAGCATTTTTTTTTTTGTATCTGAGCTTCTCCCTGATAGACTTACTAAGAATTTTGCTTTGCAAACACATGGTAATTGCTATAGAATTCAAGCATCTTTGCATTTTGCAATAAATAGAATAAAGGCTGCTATTGAAAAGGACAGCAACAATTTGTGAAATTAAAATTTTAAAAAGTTTATGTGGCCATCAGGGCTTAATTATCTCTCCTTTCCATCATGTAGCCTCTGTTTCTTTATTTCTTTAATATGTGATAGCATTTTTAAAAAAGTAGATAGAACTTGGCTTCCTTATCAGTATACATTGTTATTTTTAATGTGATTTGTCTGATTACAGTGCTTAAATATAAGAAGAATGATGAAGATGAATCTTTGAAGGATAAATTTTCAAAGTTAAATATTCACTCAATTAGTAAAAAGTCCAAGAGAGTGACTGGTCACCTGAAGATTCTGACAGGAGGAGAGCCTCAGGTAATCACTCGCTGAGTTTGCACATCATATTAGAATAGAGTAGAATAACAGAGTTGGAAGGGAGCCACTTCAGACAAATGGTTATCAAACATCTTTTTAAAAACATCCAGTGTTGGAGCATTTACAACTTCTGGAGGCAAGTTTTTCCACTGATTAACTGTTCCAACTGTCAGGAAATTCCTTCTTAGTTCTAGGTTGCTTCTCTCCTTGATTAGTTTCCACCCGTTGCTTCTTGTCCTGCCCTCAGGTGCTTTGGAAAATAACTTGACTTTCTCTTCTTTGTGGCAGCCCCTGAGATATTGGAACACTGCTATCATGTTTCCCCTAGTCCTTCATTTCATTAGACTAGACATATCCGTTCCTGCAACCGTTCTTCATATGTTTTAGCCTCCAGTCCCTTCTTTGTTGCTCTTCTCTGCACTCTTTCTTTTTTTACATCGTGGTGAACAAAACTGAATGCAGTATTCCAAGCGTGGCCTTATCAAGGCATTTTAAGTGGTTAAACTGTTACACTATGGTGTGTTTAGACATGATTTCTTGAGTAATAAAACCTTTGCTGGATTTACTCACATCAATCAGTTACAATCCACAGTGCTCGATTCCATACAACATACTTAAGCCACAACTAGCCAACTTTGTTATGGCTTAGTGCAACATGTGAATCCAGCCATTGCTTTACAGGGATTGTAAGAGTTATTGGTCAGAATTTTCATTCATTGGGTATCCTTCCTTTTCCTCCTATTATGTCCTTGCTATTCGCCTATTCCAAAACAGGTTTTATCAACCACCCGTGCATTTCTCAAGGTGTTAAGAAATTTGGAGCATATAATTTACTTTAACAAGAATGTTTTTATATGCCAGAGTCACAATTCTGCAGTTGCTATATACAAATTAGGAACTGTGATCAGGATGCTTATTTAATTCTTTGCTTTGTGATTCCAGCCAGTCTCATTAAGAAAGTGGTGCTAACCAGTAGCTTACCAGGGCATAAATAAATAATCTCTATTGGTACAAGGTAAAGTACTCATGAAATATATATTATATTAGGTCTGTGACTGGCATCATAACTGTGTGCTATTTATTGATGAGTTAGCTTCAGAATGTATCTGACCACAAAAAAAGGCAAGTGCATTTTTCTGTGGCTTAATACTAATATTTTAATGGAAGCCAGAACTAAACAAAATACTCTGTGAAACTTTCTGCCCTTGACGGGACTCCAAACATACAATACAAAAGTCAAAATGGGGCTTCAGATAAGGTTATTGTAGTTGGCAGCTCGATTAATTTCAAAGCTTTTCTAGTTCATGTTTGTATCAATGCCTACAGAGTAGCGGAAACTGCCTTAAGTTTAGCTTGCTGCTTCTCCATCTCAGCCAATATTGATACTATTGGCATGCAGCAGCCATTCTGATTCTCTTACACAGCCTGCTCTACTTCTTTGCAAGGAAATTCAGAAATCTGAACTGACAATAAAAGTTTTCAGACCTTGATTCTGTGCCAGTTCTTATCAGCTGTGTGGAATGACATGGTCTAAAAATTTGATAATGATTGATAATGCTCCTGTGATGAAGAGGGAATTCTCTGTGTTAAAGTTTCTTTTTAATCAACATTTTTAAACTCAAACAGCACTGAAGCATTTTGGGGTAGAATTATGTTTTTATGAAATCTCAGCATTTTTCTTTCTTCTAATTTATTGCTTCAGGTCACATTTTCCATTGCTGACATTTGCAGCAGCTTCTAACTTCTTTAATCAATTACTGATCCTATCTATCAGTTCTAGTAGAATTTGTTTTTTCCCCCATAAAAGCTTTTAACAGATATATTTTATAATGTACGGATCACAAGCATTCCAAAAGGTTGTGAGTGCATATATGATCTAGTTTGGCCAAGACAGTGAACATAAGGCTAAAGTACCAATTTCATATTTTCTCACTGAAAGCACAAAATTATCATTTCACAGAAAGAACCCACAGACACAAGCTTCTTAAGTTAAGTATCTTTTTTAATAGAAATTATGACTGGTTTCTTTATATGCTCCTCTCAAGATCTTATTGATCATGAAGGAAATAAAAACAATCCCAGAAATACTTCCCTTATTTTTTATGATAATATTTTTATTTATTGAGTAGATTTATTTATTTATTTATTTATGAGATTTATACAATTGTCCATCTCACTTAAATAACTCTTCGCAACTAACACAATAAAAGCTCCCATACAAAGAAGGGAAGTTAAAAATGTCTGTCTATGAAACATGTCAATATTCATTTTTGGATAATGATGAAGAGGACTGAAGATGATGGAAGAGACTATTTGTAGCAGTGAATTGAGCTGTGGGGTCCTTGTTGGTCTCTAAGCTTTTTTTTTTCTTGCGGACATTTCATTACCAAACTAGATAACATCCTCAAAAGCACTACTGCTGTTACCAAGGTTGGTAATAAAATGTCTGCAAGAAAACCACCAAGCTCAGAGAGCAACAAGGACCCCACAGGACTGAAATTAAAGAAATGTAACCAGTGAAAGTATTTTGACATTCCCTTAAACTGTTATTTGGTGTTATGTGAAGATGCCATAACAGACCACTGGGAAGGATCTCTGAGACATTTTAACATTACTATTAGCAATTACAGTCTTATCCTAACTGTGGCGTTCTTGTGGCTTTAGGTGAAAGATGAAGTTTTTAATAAACAGGAGAAGTTATTCAAAAGCTTAGAAAAGACGGTCAAACTATGCATGAAGAATATTCCATTGTCTCTTCAGCATTTAGAAGTAAGTGTTATGTAACAATATTGCCGCCTTGGTGTTAACCGTTCACAAGTTGCAAATCAACATCTGACTGGTCAAACCTGATTTAAATCCTGTATTGATGTCACAGATGGGAAGAAAGCACTGAAGCTCTCCTCTTGACCCATATTAAAAAATGCCAGAAACAATGTTTTGAAATGAATTCTCAGACCAGATAATTACATGAATATTTAAACTTCACTTAGTGAGTCTCCTGGGAAATGCTCACGTTAAGACTATATTGTGTTTGTAAAATATGGGAAGCCATTTTTAAAAAATAGTTGGGCTATCTGTTATGCAGTCAATTATGGTTTGTTCAGTTTTTACAAACAATTGTTAAGCAACTCATGGCCTATTTTAATATGCAAGTCAGACCATAATCTTTCGGCCTGGGTTGATGAGATGCTGAATGATGGATACAGTAAGTAATCTGAGAAAGTTTTCAGATTTATGTATTACATAATTTATGTACTACATAAATTATTCATTTTTTTATAAATGAGAACAATTAAATTAGCAGATCAATTGAACAATGCCTTCTTCTGTTGGGATTTTTTTTTTCATTTGCAAGGAGCTTTTAAGTAATGATACTGTACATTAATATAACCTCCCATTTGAAAACTGAAAGCTCCAGTCAATTTCCCTATAGATCTATGCTTCAGGTTCCATCCAAGGGATCATTTTCATGAACTAATCACATCCTTGCAGGCTCTGGAGAAGACTCATCTGCAGAAGTCAGAGTCATTACACTGGAGTCCAGCTGCACTGAAATATGGAAAACAGGATCAAAAGCTGAGACAGATGCAATATCTATTCACAACATTCTTTTTACCCTGCTTTGATTACCTGTATTCCTAACCTGTGTCTGAAAAGCTTTCTAGTGTAGAAAGTTAGCACCCATCCCTCCTAGAAGAATTAAGTATTTTGAGAAATATTTTTAAAAGGCTGAATATTATATTTTCCCTAAAGGAGAAACATGTTTCTAAAGACAGAAATTCAGAGCCTGAGCAATCTGCCCCAAGTAGAAATTAAGGGGTCAACTTTTAGAAATGCAGATTTGGTAATCCATTCAAAACAGGATATTCTGAACAAAGGTAGGATTAGCTCTTAGCCATAATAGGAATTGGCCAACAAGCCCCTTCATTTGCATCAGCACACTTCAACCAAACTTATCTCAAACTCCTAGATGGGAGTCTGATAGCAGCCAACAGAATACATGCTATTGCACAGGAACAGGAAGCTCAAGTTCAAAGCTCAGAGAAGGTATTAATAAACCCTCATTTTCAATGCCATGTAGTCAGCTGCCCAGGACCTCAAACCCATGTGATCCTGGCCATTAATAAAGCATCTTTCCAATTAGCCTCCATGTTTCCAGTGTTTTTCTCCTCGCTTGGAACTGAACCAGATAGATATTTCTTCCAACACTAGATTTATTGATCTTCATCTAGACCACATCATCTTCTGGCTTGATTCCTTTTGTATCTAGTTCAGAATTTATTATTTTTGTTGTTGCTGTAGTTGTATATATTTAAATGATTTATATGCCCACCAAACTTATAAAATGAGACTATAGGTGGCTGGGTGGTTGCTTTGGCCTGATGGACTCATTGAATAATTATGTGGCTTTAATGTCTTTGAAAAGACTGATTTATCAGCTTTTAACATGCACCATCTGATTATCATCTTTGCCACTCACCTTTTCTTGCTCTTTCACAAGATGAAACAAAATGAAAGGGGACAAAGTGCTGGATTTTTTCTTTTCTTCTGTAGTTATGGCTTTAGAGACCCAGTCTGGCATTGTGGTTAAATCACCAGGCTAGAAATTGGGAAACCATGAGTTCTAATCCTGTTTTAGGAATGAAGCCAGCTGGGTGACCTTACCCCAGGCAGTCTCTCTCCGCCCTAGGAAGCTGACAGTGGCAAACCCCTTCTGAGGTCTTGCCAAGAAAAAACTATAGTGATGAGTCCAAGCAGTCAACAGCAGTCAACATTAACTTGTAAGCACACACAAAAAAAGAGAAAAAAATAGGGGTTTAATTGGGTGTGCTTATATGCCTACCCAAAGAGGCATTTCATTTATTTCACGAATACTAGGCGAATTGGATTATTAACACACAAATCTACATAGCCACTTTATGAATAGTGCAGCAAAATGGTAGCAAGCAGAATTTTTTCATACATAATTATTCACTTCTTATGGCAAATATTACTGAGCAAGTATACATACATAAGGGTTTATGTTTGTATGTAACATTCTTCTGCCTATATCATTTTTTTTTTCAGGACTCTGTATTTCTCGGAGCACAGTGCATAATTGATCTTCAGGATCTGCTACATGAGAATGAAGATGGGGCAAACAGATCTTCAGATGCATTGATTAATGCTGGGCATCCCAGCAAACTGTTTGTAAGTTCTTGAATATGTAGATTTAAAAGGATTGGGAATAGATTTTGTGAAATCTGCTGTGTATAATATCGCACAACAAATCTAATAGAAAGTAGTTTGTTTTTTAGCCTCGTTACCACAGATTCCGATTTATTGTAAGTCAAGGGTGTTAAAATCGCGTCGTCACAGTGTCGTCACGTGACGTATTGCGATTCCCCCCTTTGCTAAACTGGATGTGGGCGTGGCCAGCGCTTGACGCATCCGGCCCTCAGGTTATGAGTTTGACAGCCCTGCTGTATGTATATACAAAATCCAGCCTTCCATATCAGAAGAATAATTCAAAAGGTATGAATTGAGAATTAATAGAAGGTAAGTGAAGAGTGTAGATTAGGGAGACTTTTTAAAAAATCTTGCTCAGCCACAAACTTTACTTGGTGAGTCAGGGCATAGCCCCACCACACATGGCTGTTTTGAGGATAAAAACCATGTCAACCATCTACCCTGTGATCTTCAAAAGGAAGAAAATCTAGTATGTCTTTTCCCATCTTTATTCTTGCAACAACTTTGCAAAGTAAATTAAAATAGAAAATGTGACGCACCCAGTAAATTTTACACCTGAACAGAAACTCCAGCCCTAGGTTTGTAACTTAAATCTATGGCATGGAAAATTCTGTATTTTTAATTAGGGTTTCACTTTATTAATCATTATCTAAATTGATTCTCCCAAAACAACCAGGAATTTATCAAGATTCTCCAAACTGGAAGGTTAAATTTAAAAAATAAATAGTAACTGGCATTTATTACTAGAAAATATAGGTCATAAATAGCTTTACTATTTCAAATCCTGAGAAGTCTTCACTAACTCTATGAGAACAGGTTATCTTCATTCAGATACATTGTTCTTTCTCTTTGTTTCCTGGGTACACAGAATATTTCTTCCTTCCTTCCTTCCTTCCTTCCTTCCTTCCTTCCTTCCTTCCTT